CTGCTTCTCCCTCTGACCATCTTCCCTCTCGTGCTCTCCGTCTCTCATTCTCTCTCTCCCAAATAAATAAATAAAATCTTTAAAAAAAAATGCAAATTTATTCTCTCAGAGTTCAAGAGGCCAGAAGTACAACATCAAGGTGTCATCAGGGCCACATTCCCTCTGGAGGCTCCAAGGGAGGATCCTTCTTTGTATCTTCCAGGCTCTGTGGGTTCCTTAGCTTATGGTTGCATGGCTCTAACCTCTTGTCTCTGTTTTCTCTATGTTTCAAATTTCCCTCTGCCCTTCTCTTAGAAGGACATCAGTCATTGGGTTTTGGTTCCAGCCTAAACCCCAGACAATCTCATCTCAGATCCTTAACTTAAATCTGAAAAGACTCTTTTTTCAGATAAGGTCGCATTCACAGGTTCTGGAGTTAGGACTTGGACATGTCTTTCAGGGCAGGCCATTCAGCCCACTGCGTGCGGTAACTGTCACAAGTCTCCACTACCAAGTCACCATTTCCCCCTTTCTCTACTCTATTCTTTGAAAGTGAGTCACTGAGCCCAGCCCACCCTTGGTGATGGTGGTGAGTTTACATATAATTTTTAATGAATGGAAAACATTCTGTCTAGTGGGTGAACCATAGCTTACTCAACAAGTCCACTGCTGTTCTTTCTGCTCTTTTACAATTGGCAACATTGCTGCAAGGCCTTGGCATAGAGTGTTTCCCTTCCTTTGCAAGACCTCCTTAGTATAAAATTTCAGAAATGGCTTACTGAGTTGAAGGGCATGACACGTTATGGACTTTGAGACATAATTGGCAGATGATGCCAATGTTTTCCCCCACTTAAAAGGAAATATATTTGTCTACCAGTTTCACCACGATTTTGACAGATTGAGTCTTACACCCCCCCCCTTTTTTAGTGGAGGGTAGGGTGTTTTGGTTAATTTGATAGGTACAGGGGCACCTGGGTGGCTCAGATGGTTGGGCGTCTGCCTTCAGCTCAGGTCATGATCCCAGAGTCCTGGGATCGAGTCCCGCATCGGGCTCCCTGCTCCTTGGGAGCCTGCTTCTCCCTCTGCTTTTCTCTCTCTCTGTCTCTCATGAATAAATAAATAAAATCTTTAAAAAAAATTTGATAGGTACATTGACCTGCACTCTTGAGGTTTCTGCTGTCAGAAATACAATTTAAAGTGGATTGGAAAAAATAGCATAATTGGTTCAAGGTGTAAGGAAAGGGGCGCCTGGTTGGTTAGGCGACTGCCTTTGGCTCAGGTCATGATCCTGGAGTCCCAGGATCGAGTCCCACATCGGGCTCCCTGCTCAGCGGGAAGCCTGCTTCTCCCTCTGACCCTCCCCCCTCTCATGTACTCTCTCTCTCAAATAAGTAAATAAATAAATAAATCTTTAAAAAAAAAAAGAAAAAAGGGATAAGGAAAGATGTAGATTTATGAAGCATCAGGTATAGCTGGGTCCAGGATTAAACAGGGCCAAGATTCTGAAGAGACAGCCGTGTCTGTACCTGACTCACATTACTCCAGCTCCGCAGTTTCAGAACCGCCCCAGGGAAGCTCTCTGACTGGTTGAGCCTGGGTCGTGTGTCCATGATGAGAGGGGGGAAGGAACTGGACTGACAGTCGCAAACTGGCCCACGCAAACTCTCATATTTTTGTTTCTACAAGTCAGAGTTGAGAAGGCTTAAGTGTGCAAGCAAGCAATGGCAATGTGGCACAAACCAGGTATGATGAAAATCAGTGCAAGCTACTAAGGTTCAAAGTAAAGAGAAGGAATGATTAGATTTGGGGGGCAGTCATTGAAGTGCTCTCAGAGCAGCTACGCATTAGTGCACATTATGCCAATTGCCAGGGACAGAGTCCAAACTCCAAGCGAATTAAGCAATAAAGGACAACTTTTTGGGCTCATATAAGTGGAAAGGCACGCCTTACAGCTTCAGGTATAGCTGGATCCAGGGGCTCACACCATGCCTCCTTTTCCACACAGTAGCTGTAAGTATACGCTGGATTCATCCTGCAGAAAGCTTCATCCAGAAAATCAATCCTAGGCTTTCACTATCTCACTTTTAAACAACCTCCTCCGAGAGCGCTCTTCTGCTGCCTCAGTATCACTCCCAAGGAAGACCTAATTGGCCTTGGTTGGTCACATGCTCCTCCTTTAACCAATCACTATGGCCAGGGGGATGGCCAACTCTGATTGGCCACCCCTATGTTGAAAGGGCTGACAAAAACTGCAGTGACGCAGTCTGCCACACGGGGTCACCCAAGTAGAGTTTTCAAGGATGAATAGGAGTTTGCTAATTGGGCAAAAGGAGAAAGACTACACATAGAAGTCAAGAAAAGTCAGAAAAGTAGTGTACCAGCACATGATTTTCTTCCTACTTGTGCCACCATGTTGATGTTGAGACAGTTCACTGACCCCCAGTTTCTGTTGTTTATAAATTAAGCAGCCTTCCTGGGTGGGTCAGTCGGTTAAGCGTCTGCCTTCAGCTCAGATCATAATCCCAGGGTCCTGGGATCCAGGCCCGCATCGGGCTACCTGCTCAGTGGAGAATCTGCTTCTCCCTCTCCCCCGCGTGTGCTCTCTCGCTTTCAATCTCTTAAATAAATAAAATCTCTAAAAAATATAAAAAAGAAAAGAAAGGCTCTCAAGTCAATGCTGACACTCAGGAGACCTGGAGAAGGGAAGTCACTGGGGGAAGAGCACCTATTGCTTATTTACAGGCTTGAAGGTCAAGGCATGCATGAAAGTCAAGACAGAGGAAGGAATCCTTGATGGTCATCCAATTGGTAATTACTTGATGTAGTGGGTTGAGAAGTGTCCCCTAAAAAGATGTTCTAACATAACATAGGTAAGTTCTAACCCCCATACCTGTGAATAGGACCTTTTTTGAAATAAAGTCTTTGCAAATGTAATTAAGGATCTCAAGATTATTTTATCCTGGATTTAGGGTGGGCATAATAAGAGAATGTCCTTATAAGAAAAGGAGAGGAAGACTTGAGATAGGGCGACACACAAAGACAGCCATGTGAAGACAGTGGCAGAGATTGATATTTCTGGGGACCAAGGAACTATGAGATTGCTGACAGCCACCAGAAGCTGGGAGAGAAGTATGGGACAAATTGTCCCTCAGAATCTTCAGAAGGAACCAACCCTGCTGATACCTTGATTTCAGACTCATGAATCAAGTTCTATTGTTTTAAGCCACCCAGTTTGTGGTAATTTGCTATGGCAACCCAAGGAAAATAATACATTTGCCTATCTCTTTTGCTTATCATCTGTCTCCCCAGTGGGCTCCTAAATCCCAGGAGGGCCAGTTTCGTCTGGTTTGTTCACTGTGTGTATCCAGAAACAGGCACATAGCAGGTGCTCAATAACTATCGCTCGCCTGGGTACTAAGTGCTCCGTTTGTGCTAGACGCTGTTTGTTTTTTAAGATTTTATTTATTTATTTGACAGAGAGAGACACAGCGAGAGAGGGAACACAAGCAGGGCGAGTGGGGGAGGGAGAAGCAGGCTTCCCGTGGAGCAGGGAGCCCGAATCAGCGGGGCTCCATCCCAGGACCCTGGGATCATGACCTGAGCCGAAGGCAGACGCTTAACGACTGAGCCACCCAGGCGCCCTAGACGCTGTTCTAAGTGCTTTTACCTGGCTTAACTCATTTCATCCTCACTACAACCTCGGACAGACGCTATCATTAAACTAATTTTACAAAGGGGCAAAACTGAGGTTCAGAGGGGCACAGCCGGGATTCCAACCTACCAAAAGGCGTGCCCTGGATAAGGATCGACTACAGTAATGAGAATCCGAACTGTAGGAGCCCTAAGGGAGGCATTAGACACAACCCAATAACCACGGAGCCTCAATTTCTTCCTTTGCAAATTGTAGCAATATCCGGCTTTGCCCACAGGGTGGAGCCCAAGAGATCGGCGAGAATTTCATCTGCGCATGCGCCTTTACCCACAAGGCCTCTTGCACTGGCTCCGCCCCCCCTTTTTCAGCACTCAACGTCGACACTTTACGGCCCTTTCTCTTACCCTCCCCCGAAAAACACAGCCAACCTTGCCGGTGGTGTCTAGCTGATCCCTCCCTACACCGCGCGGATTGGGTGCTCTTACCTCGAGCCCTGCGCTGACTGGCTCGTGTCGCTGCCACTTCAGTTCAGCCTAGTGGCGCGCGGCAGGGCCGCTACCGGCGGGCGCGTGAGCGGCGGCGGCGGAAGTGGTCGGCGAGCCTGCTCCCCGCCGACAGCATGGTGAGGGCAAGGCGGTGGCAGGTCTCTCCGGGAGGCGGGGAACGCGGCAGCCGAGGGCCCTCGGGGCGGGCGTTGAGGCAGGGGCGACGCGGAGCTAGCATGCAGTCAGGGCCTCGGTTCTGCCCCCCGGCCCCAGACGGGGACGCAGGCCGGAGAGGGCAGGGAGGTTTCCCAGAGCATCCAGCCTGTCAGTCTCGGAGGACTTAGAATTGGACGAACGTGTAATCATGTGTCAGCCTACCTGCAATCTTTCCACCTTGCAGATGGGGAAACAGGCCTGAGAGGGGACCGCCAAAGGGTCCGGTGAATACCGAAGAGTGAATTCGGGCAGGGGAGTGGCTCCGAGTGCATCCGACCCAGTCTAACTTCATATATTGGAAAAGTGGAGCGACAGAGGGCCGATCTGAGTTCTCAAATTAAACCGGTTTTGAGAATTACAGGACTTGCAAGGGCCTTTAGAATGTTAGCACAGTCTTCTGTGCCTCTCATTTTAAAGCCGGAAAAGCAGACCCAGAGAGCGGGTTTGCCATCTCCCTGGATCACACTGGATGTCGTTTCTGGAGAAGGGAGCATTTTGAGCCAGGAGTGGACTTAACTGTATCCTTCCAGTTTGGTGAAGGAAAATTGAGGCCCTGCCGGGAAGCCTCTCCAGGACCATGCTGCTCTCAGATCCTGAAAGTTCTGGATTTAGGTCAGAGAGAGTGCCCCTGCCTTCAATGTTTAGACAGGGAGGTGCGTCTGGCTGAGAGCCTGGGACTCTTGATCTCGGGGGTAGTGAGTTCAAGCCCCTCGTCGGGCCTAGAGCTTACCTTAAAAAAAAAAAAAGAAGATGGGTAGACAGGGAAACAGGACCACACAGAAATTCAGAGCCAGGCCTCCTAAGAGAGTGTCTGGCCCATCAGCACCAGTCTCTCTCTCAGGGTCATTGCATGTTTCTCAGAGCTTAAGGTTAGTAGAGGTTTGTACTAAATACTGCTGGCTGGTGCAGGAAATGAGAGAGGTAGTGGGTTCCTCTGCTGGAGGGCAGAGTTGGCCTGAGGGGATGGGCAGAACTGGAAGCTACCTTCCCCCTTAAGTTCCTTGGAAACAGTCTCTTTTATTTTATCCCTGATATATTCCTAGAGCCTAGAACAGTACTTGTGCAAAGAACAGACTCTTTTTCAGCCTGAAGAATGCCCAGGAAGGGACAAGGCATGACAGACTCCCAGTTCCCCAAGGTCATGATGGGGCAGGAAGCAGGGGTCTGAGGGTGTGTGTGTTTGGGAGGGGTCTCCATAACAGCTTCCTGAATTGGGAGCCTCAGGAAGCCATCTGGTCTAGCCTTAGATTGGTCTAGACCTGACAACCAGATCCTAGACATTCTGAAAAAGCCCAGACGAAAGGATGCTCTTTCCTGAAGCTTTTGACTTTCCCAACTCCAGATGGCCCTGTCTTCTGAACAGTGTCCTAGCCCGTCCCATCTCCCTTGGCACCTTCAAGAACTTCTTCCCCACCAAGTTTTTTAAGTTCTCGGGGAATCTTCCCCTCCTCTCTGCTCTGTCTCCAGCAGTTTGGGGATAAGGGTCTGGAAAATGGCAAGATGTGGACACTGCTCCAGGCCACGCAGCCTTGGAGGACTGTCCCCAATACCACCTCTCCCCATCTGAGCCTCTCCTTTTTTATTTTATGTATTTATTTGACAGCACAAGCAGGGGGAGTGGCAGGCAAAGGGTGAGGGAGAAGCAGGCTCCCCACTGAGCAAGGAGCCCTACGCGGGGCTCCATCCCAAGACCCTGGGATCATAACCTGAGCCAAGGCAAATGCTCAACTGACTGAGCCACCCAGGCGCCCCTGAGCCTCTCCTTTTCTTATCTGTGGGGTGGGGCAGGTATCCCACCCACGCCATGTGCCTCCCTGGATGGTGTGTGCATTTTCTTGTGTATTTGCTCAGCAAATATTTACTGAGTCCCTCTCGAGTCCCTGGCCCTGAGTTCGGCACCGGCCAAAGTCCACACCCTCTGAGTTTTCCAGTCTGGCCAGGGAGACGTATAAACAAGATAATTAGAGACTGGCTGTGTCCTATAATGGAAGCAGCAGGGGGTGGCCCAGGTGGAAATCTCAACCCCTAGATAAGGTTATTATGAGGGCCTGGCCAAGCGAGGTAAGAGGTGACATGTGAGCAGCCACTAAGCCTGGGGAAGGACAGCCCAGGCGGAGGGAACTGCAGGAACAAAGGTCAGCCGGCAGGATTGGGTGTGGCTAGTGAGAAACAAACTGGGCCACTTCGGCTGGAGCTGGCTTGGCCTTGTGACTCGTTGGGGGAGTTAGATGTGCAGGGGAGTGTTGGGAGCAGGTGTTGGTCACTTCTGTGTCTTAGACATCCTCTCAGCTGCTTTGTGAATAGTGCGCTGCCCGTGACAGCCAAGGAAGCTATGGGTTCTCCAGGGCTGTGCTGCCAGCAGCTGGGACAGGGGAGAGGCCAGCCTGGGCACAGAAGCTGCGCACACCATAAAAGGACTCCTGTGGGGCCCCTGCGGACAGGCTTCAGCTTACTTTCATGGGCTGTCTCAGGATCTTGCCGTGGTGTCCCTGGGAAGGTCCCTCCTGCTCTGGCCACTGGTCCCTCGTCTAGAGGGGCCTTGGCTATACCTCTCTGCCTCTCAGTGCTGCATCCATCTTCATTCTCGCCTTCCAGGCCCAACCTTGCTCTGTCCCCTCTCAGGCGATCTGGGAGGAAGACCTGAGTGTGTCATCGCTCTGGTCCACATTCCCATCTTGGACACAAGAAAACAGGCTTGCTCAGGAAAGCCTGAGGCTTCGCCACAGTACAAGGCGACTGAGGCTTATGGCCTCCGTGTGTGAGTCGGACCCATGGCTCTCTACCCCTGGGTACCATCGCACAGATGAATTCCAAATGAGAGGGCAGGGGCCGCAGGTTGGCTAGGTCGGGGCCCCAGCCTGCTTGCCTGTCCTCCTCTGAGCAGTCACCCCTTCTCCACGTGGCCCCTTCTTCCTTTTTACCAGGAAGCCAGTGCAGGAAGTGGGCTTGGGCCTGGCTTCCTGCCGCCACTGGACCTCCCCTAGGCGGCTCTTCTCAGGACAGGTTGTGGGCTGTGGGAATCCCCCTCAGGCCTTTCCACAGGACCCGTCCTGTGGGAGTTGGCCATTTCTGGCCTCCAGTCCCCCCCACCTAGAGAAGCAGCTGGCCTGCATCGGGAGTGTGAGGGCAGGCCGAGACTCCCCTGCAGCGAGCTTCTGGGGGTCAGGCTGACAGAATTCCAAAGCCAGTGCAAGGTGCAGTGAAGCTCCCGTCCTCCCTGAGGCAGTGAGTGTCTCATATGTGGGACCCTTAGACCAGAACCTTCATTTGGCCTTGCTGGATGGGCTGTCATTGGATCCTGGACCCAAGCACTGCCACCTGAGTCACCCTCCTGGAGACTGAGAAGCAGGCTCCAGTGTTGTATGGGTTGTGATTTGTGTTCCCAAAATGAAAAGAGCTGATTTTTTAATATCTTGAAAGCTGACTGTATGTGGGTGAGTTTTTTAAAAGATTGCATCTCTTATATGCTATTACTTGTAGTAACAACAGATTTTTTTTTTCTGGAATGTTTTTCGCCTTACTTGATGAATTTTCTCACTGAAAACCCAGCTTAGATGTAGCCACCCTAGATCAAGGTTGCTACCCAACGGCCTGGCAGAATCCCTCTTGGTCCAGTCAGGGCTGCCTTTCGAGGCGTGGGCTCAGCATGAGCTGACTTCCAGCGGATGGGGTCAAGCCAGGCTCTATCTCTTACTAGCTTTATAGTGGCAGGCAAGTCCCTCAGTCTCTTCTTTTTTTTTTTTTTTAAGATTTTATTTATTTGACAGAGACAAAGCGAGAGAAGGAACACAAGCAGGGGGAGTGGGAGAGGGAGAAGCAGGCTTCCCACGGAGGAGGGAGCCCGATGCGGGGCTCAATCCCAGGACCCCGGGATCATGACCTGAGCCAAAGGCAGATGCTTAACGACTGAGTCACCCAGGCGCCCCAGTCCCTCAGTCTCTTAAGCCTCAGTGTCCCCGTCTGTAAAGTGGGTGTGACGACAACTATACGAGGATGAAAAAGAAAGCTGCATCTATTTAAAAAAAAAGACATTCTATTTATATGAGAGAAAGAGCGAGGGCCCGTGCATGCGTGGGGAGGGAGGGGCAATGAGAGAGGGACAAGGAGACTCCCCACTGAGCACAGAGCCTGACACAGGGCTCAATCCCAAGACTGTGATCACCACCTGAGCCGAAGTCAGACGCTTAACCAACTGAGCCACCCAGGCGCTCTGAATGAGAGAAACATCAGTTGAGCAAAAAAGGCAAGCTGCCGAAGGATCCTTGTGCTCTGGCACTCATGATAAGCGTGGAAGGCTAGGGCCTTTCCTGTCAAGGGTGTGAATATAGGCAACATGAGTTGTAAAGAAAGGCCCAGAATGGTCAGCACCAAGACCAGATGACTGCTGCCTCTGAGATTGGGCGCGGGGGAGTATTCCAGGCTTTATTTCCTAAACTGGGAGGCAGGTATGTGTCCTGGGGTTGGGCGGAGTTAGGAGCACGCATTTTCTGTTGGGGGTCAGGGCCGTGTGTTCCTGCACCCCCAGTGCAGTGATGAGCTGGCAGATTTGTGAGATTGGAGTCCCAGCCCTGCCCAAGGGCCAGGGCCCCTCAGTGCTGATCAGACAAGTTATGTGTCTTTGTTTGCCTTCCAGCTTCCCCTGTCGCTGCTGAAGACGGCTCAGAATCATCCCATGGTGAGTACATGCCTGTCAAGGGCAGCGAGTTTCAGCGGGAACCAGCCTCAGAACGGGGACAGGGACACTGGGCAAAGGGTGAGGTGCCTCCAGCCAGACCGGCTTCCTCCCTGCCCACGAGACAGCAGTTTATTCTCTTCTCCCTCCTATGCATGTCAGGACCTGCTCTTAGTTCTGCTGCTTATAAAAGTAATACATGCTTATTAAAAATGTCAAACACTGGAGGTCCTTAGAAACTAGAAACTCCTCTTCATTACTCTTGCCAACAAATTAACGATATCCTTGATACATGCTGGTTCAGACGACTTCTTTTTTTTTTTTTTTAAGTAAGGTCCATGCCCAACATGGGGCTTGAACTCACAGAGTGAAGATCAAGAGTTGCATGCTCCACTGACTGAGCCAGCCAGGCACCTTGCACATACAGGCTTAACATATGTGTAGAAACACGAATGTGATTTTTTATTTTATTTTATTTTTTAAAGAGATTTTATTTATTTATTTGACAGAGAGAGACACAGCGAGAGAAGGAACACAAGCAGGGGGAGTGGGAGAGGGAGAAGCAGGCTTCCCGCCGAGCAGGGAGCCCGATGCAGGGCTCCATCCCAGGACCCTGGGATCATGACCCGAGCCGAAGGCAGACGCTTAACGACTGAGCCACCCAGGCGCCCCACGAATGTGATTTTTTAAAAACACAGATGGGATTGGGGTGCCTGGGTGGCTCAGTCCGTTAAGCATCTGCCTTCGGCTCAGGTCATGATCCCAGGGTCCTGGGATCGAGCCTGCATCAGGCTCCTTGCTCAGCAGAGCCTGCTTCTCCCTCTCCCTCTGCCTGCTGTTCCCCCTGCTTGTGCTCTCTCTCTGTCAAATAAAGAAATAAAAAACCTTAAAAAAACAAAAACAGAAAAACACAGATAGGACCACATAACACACGCTTATTCCCTAAACGACTTTTGCCCTTCATGATACAGTGTGTCAGTATGTTCTGTTCTTTTTCTCTTTTTTATTCAGATACATAATTCACATACCATACAGTTCAACCTTTTTTTTCTTTTGAAGTTCTTATTCTTTTATTTAAGTAATCTCTACACCCAACATGGGACTTGAATTCACGATCCTGAGATCAAGAGTCGCATGCGCTTCTGACTGAGCCGGTCAGGCGCCTTTACAGTTCAGCCTTTTAACGCATACAACTCAGGGGTATTTAGTACATTCACAGCATTGTAAACCACCACCTCAGTGTAGTTCCAGAACATTCCATCACCCCAGAAGGAAACCCCATTAGCAGTCCCCATCCCCTTTCCTCAGTCCTTGGCAACTATTAATCTGCTTTTTGTCTCTGTGGATTTGCCTGTCCTAAACATTTCCTGTAAATGGGATCATATGCTGTGTGGCCTTTTGTGTCTGGCTTCTTCAGCTCTGCATGATGTTTTTTGAGGTTCAGCCAACCTGTAGCGTGTCAGGGCTTCATTCCCAATGGCCCTGGCCATGTGATAGCACATTGTATGGACATACCACATTTTGTATATCCACTTGTCTGCTGATGATGGACATTTGGGTTGTTTCTACTTCTTGTCTGTTGGTGAGTATTTTGGTCGCAATGAACATTTGTGCACACATTTTTTTAAATTTTATTTTTCATTTATTTAAGAGAGAGAGAGCATGCACAAGCGGGGGGAGGGGCAGAGGGAGAGGGAAAAGACTCCCTGCTAAGCCGGGAGCCCAACATGGGGCTCGATCCCTGCATCCTGGGATCATGACCTGAGCCCAAGGCAGATGCTTGACCGAGTGAGGCACCCTGGCGCCCCTGTGCACACATTTTTGCCTGGATGTTTGTCTTTATTTCTCTTGGTCAAATACCTGAGTCGATTCTTTTTTTAAGTCTCCGCTTTTCAGAGTGATGGGCTACCTGCTTGTTTTCCCAGAGCACATTAAAATAGATGCGTAATTGTTGGACTGAAAAGGTGTTTTCAGACCACCAAAGCTCACACATGTGCTGTCAAAGAACACCTGCCCTGGGGCACCTGCCTGGACCAACTGAGATGTGCCCTCCTGGCTGTTCTGAGTCAGTGGCCACTGTTACCCTAACCTCGCTCTTTCCTTGAAAGATTTGTAGAGGATTTTTTGGTGTTTTTTTTTGCTTTTTGTTTGTTTGCACAAACAAAACCCAGTTTCATCATAGAAGACTACAATGCCCAGCAAAATGTACAGAGGATGCAGAACATGTCGCCTGTAAGATGGGCCACTGGGGGCGGGGGGTGGGGCAGTACTAGGCACCATGTGCTGTGGCCACCGGGTCCCACGAGGTCCCATGTCTGAATGAGGCCCAGGCGGTAGTCACCCAGCTCTTAGGGGTAGGGCTGCCCTTCCCTTGGGGCCCATGGCTGACTTGGGGCCATTTCTCTTCCAGTTGGTGGAACTCAAAAATGGGGAGACATACAATGGGCACCTGGTGAGCTGTGATAACTGGATGAACATTAACCTTCGAGAGGTGATCTGCACATCCAGGGTGAGTGCCCTGCGCCCGAGTCTGTGCCCACTGCCTGGGGGCAGTGTGGCCGCCAAGTTCCCACATGCACCTGGGGCTTACGGAGCCTCAGCATCCTCAGTGGAGTGAAAGCCCCTCCCTGCCCTTGTGGGAGGAGTAGGGAGGGGCATAGCTCAGCTAGGTCATCCTACCAGGGTGAGGCTTATGGAAGGGGTGGGACTTAGGGGCGGGGCCTGAGGGAGTGGGAGGGGTGTGGAGGGGGCAGAAGGGTGGGGCTGCGCGCCCGCTTGTACCCTGGACTTTGCACCTAATGGGGATGCTGCCCCATCCCCCATGGCTCGTGCCAGTCCTAAACAAGAAGGACGTAGGCCTTGGGGGGCACTTCTGGCTACAGATCCCAAGTGTACAAAACAGGCCTGACCTTCCTTGTCAGCCTCTGCTGCCTTTGGGGGGAAGTGGGCTGTGGACATCACCGGCCAAGCAGGCCAGAGTGGTGTGGCCATGGGATATCCAGGCCACCAGGGGGCGAGGGTGGCCCTGTGGCCCTGTGGAGCCAGGAGACTTGTTTACCTCCTGAGGCCTGAAACCAGGAAGTGCAGGGCCAGGAGCACCACTGGGTGGGCCAGGGCTGGGGGGCAGTTCTCTAGGGTCACAGGCCTTCCCAGGCCTCAGGATGAGCCACAGAGCAATGAGGATGATGACCGTGGCGAAGGCAAGGCTCCCTCCTGTGAACCTGTGCTGGGGTCGGCTAGGGCTTGCCTCCTGCCTTGATTCCAGTTTCCATCCCCCTGTTGACAGCAGCACCCTATGTTACAGGGGAGGAAAGTGTGGGGGGGCCCAGCCAAGATGGGGCTGTCTTGAGCCCATGGGCAGGTGCCCCTGAGGCTTGCCATACCAGAGTACAGCAGAGCCCTAGGCAGCCCGTCTTAACTCCTGGTCCGTCCCCCTGGATGGTTCCCATCCCAACAGGCAGACTGGTAAGGGTGACCGTCTCCCCTCACCTGTGTGGCTCTGTGCCCTGTTTCTTGTGATGGTACATTGTGGGACGGCTTCCACTAGAAACTTCCTCCTGGTTTTCAGGCCGCACTTGTGGTGGCAGGGGTCCAAGCAGCTCCAGTGTGGCTGTAGCAGCCATTGCCACAGTGCACAGCCGAGCGCGTGGCCAATAGGTCTGTGTCTACCTCTGGGACCTGGAAGCAACCACCGGTTCGCAGAGCAAGGTCAGCCGACCTCCGTAGCCAACGGAGACTGGACACGTAGCTCCTCCTGGGTAGTCCCCCTATGTGACCTGCTGGTTGGAAGGAGAGGCTGCTGTGAGGTTCAGTGTCACTTGGGCTGTCCAGCCTCCTCACCTGTAAACAGGTGCTAGCAGCCCCTCCCTTGGGCAGCAGGCAGCCTGGGCAGGACGCACACACCCCAGAAGCTGAGAAAGCACTGGAGAGCCAGGGTTGGTTGGAAAGTGGTTAGCTCAGGCTGCTCAGCTCTTGCCATGGAACGCAGAGTAAGCTCTGGTTCCTGTAGGGAGTGTGCTGGGCCCAGCCTGTCCTTGGCTAAGGGAGAGCCGAGCCCTGAGCAGCCAGCCCCAGCACTGTGCTTCCATGGAATCATTCTGTTTCTGTCAGGCTGTAACTTTGCATCCCCACAGACTTGGCCCCTTGCCTGCCCTTCCTGGGAAAGGAGTGCCCCAAGACCTCATGAGGTTCCTGTGTGGGTTGGGGGCTTGTGCACATTTCTGGGAAGAGTTGGCCTTTGAACTTTCCCTTTGTCCTATTGAGTGTCTCCGCTGGGCCAGACCAGCCAGACCCAGGCACTGCTGACGAGTGTCATGCATGAGGAGTGGGCCTTTCAGGGAGGCTGGGAGCAAGGCCTGTTGGGGGTCAGAGTTAGCCAGACACAGAAAAGTGGGAACAGCATATGCAAAGTGCTGGGGGCAAGAAGCCCACTGTGTGTGTTCCAGAAATTTCCATCTGGAAGGCACGTCATCGAGAGCTGCCCACGTCAGCGAGGGCAGCCAGGGTGGGGCTGGATGTCAGGCCCTCGGGAGCCACACTGAGGAGTTTGGACCTTGTCCTTGGGCCAAGGGGGCCCTGATTGGGTTCTCAGCAGGGCAGTGTCTTGGTCTGATTTCTAGGGATGTGGGGAGAGGAGAGGGCTGCCAAGACTTCTGGCTCAGGGCACCAGGGGTGGGGCTCGAGAACTCATCTGAAGGAAGAAGCCCCGGGCTCCTGCCCAAGGGCAGCAGGAGGGGCTGTGGAGGAAGGCCTTGTGCTGGTCACAGGGTACATGGGAGTGGGGGGTGGGGGGAGGCAGTTGATGTCCTAGGACCTGCAGGGTTGGCATTGCTCTGGAATCTGTGACTTTGCAAGCCTCCTAATCTCTCTGGCCTTAATTAACTCCCCTAAAAACTGGCACCATCGGTCGCTGCCCCTGGCCAGCCCCAGGCTTGCTTCCCCACCCACTCCCGCCCTCTTCACAGAGTCTCTACCCCACTTACTTGTGCCCCACACCCACCTCAGAGCCTGTCAGGAGATAAGTGGGTGAATGAATGAGTCAGGGCACACAGAGAGGCTTCCAGAAGGTAGGTTCCAAAAGGCTGGGCACAGGGGGATGGGAGAGCTGGGCTGGGGCCGGGCTGTGTGGCAGTGCCTGGTGCGAAGGTCCCTAGCCTTCTCTGGGCTTTGGGCTGCAGGAAACAAAGCTGCGGATGAGGAAGCTAGCTTATGTGTTTCCCTGCCCCTTCCTGGGTAAAGGGGGACCCAGAGTCTGGGGAGAGTCTGCTGGAAGGCAGCTCCCCCCACCCCCCGTGTCAAGTCTGGGACTGAACTTTGCAGGGGTGAGACCAGGTGCAGGCGGGCTAGGACAGTGGCCCAGGTGGGAACAGGAGCACAGGGGACAGACACGCCATTGCCCTCAGCACCCACGCTGCAAGGATCCCCCCCATCTGAGCCTCACCCCTCTCTCGCCCAGGATGGGGACAAGTTTTGGCGGATGCCCGAGTGCTACATCCGTGGCAGCACCATCAAGTACCTGCGTATCCCCGATGAGATCATCGACATGGTCAAGGAGGAGGTGGTGGCTAAGGGCCGGGGCCGCGGCGGCCTGCAGCAGCAGAAGCAGCAGAAGGGCCGAGGCATGGGGGGTGCTGGGCGAGGTAGGCCCTTCTCTCCCTCTCCCACCCCCCCGCCCCCAGTAGGCTAGGCCGCAGAGTCTGCCCAGGCCTTGCCCAAGCTCAAGGGTGACTGCAGCACGTGGCAGCCATCCCGTCCCAGTGTTGACATTCTTGGGTGGTGCCGTCATGGTGCCACAGGCCTGGCTCTGAGCCCCCTCCATAGAGCTGGGGGTTATGACTCACAGGGTTCCTCCGGGGCTGCCGAGGCTGCTCTTTGCTGCCTGCCCCGGCCCCATAGCCCCAACCCAGGAAGCCTGGTGTGGCCCTGGCGGGCCGTGCTGGCTCCCCCATCCCCCTGGGCCCTCCTGCCCAGCAGCAGTCCTCGGGGCTCCGGAAGCCTGGCTCCAGCCCAGCAGACTAATGCAGTGCCCGTGCAGACCTGGGGCTTGAGCCCTCGTCTGATGCCCGCCTGTATCTCCCGGCAGGTGTTCTGGGCTTGGTGTGCCACCTCCCTGGCTCGTTTCCCCTCTGCAGAGAGAGTCTGGTGGTGCCCGCCTCACCAAGGCTGCTGGTGGGGATCCCAGCTCAGGGCCTGGCACGAGCCCCTTCCCTGCTGTCACTCCTTTTCACAAGGCCGAGTTCATTCCTTTCTAATAGACTCCCCTCATCCTACCCACCCCCACCTCCAGCCACCAAAATTATAAATCTGGCATAAACTTCAATTTGTTGTGCAGTCAGCTGGGTCCTGAGCCTAGAGGCCATCTGCAGACCCTCCCTCCCTCCCCCCACACGCCCCGCCCCTCTTGGGGGGCCCCCGGCTTTGTCTCTTCCATCTGGAGGGGCCTTCCGTGGGCCAGGCCCAGGCTCCCCCCCCCCCCAGGGGCTCACAGGCAGGGCCAGAAAGGATACAAGAGCCGGCCCTGAGCTGAGGCTCACATGACAGGAACGAGCCAGAGGGAGGAGGTCTGGAGGGCACTCCAGGTGGGGACATTGCCAAGGCCTAGGGGTGAGCAGGGCCTTTTCCATACCTGAGGGCCAGGCTCTTCGTGCTGAGGCCACCACTGCTGCCCAGAGGAGCAGGGAGGGAGGGAGGAGTGATTAGCTTAGGCCACTCTGAAGAGAGACCATGGGACCCTCGGTAGCAGGTGGAAATCTCACCCTGTGTGGCAGAGCTGCCCTTGGCAAAGCCAGTCTTGCCCTGGGGGAGGTGAGGTCAGGTAGCCCCTGCAGGGATGGGCCTCCATCCCGACAAGGCCCACTGCGTGTTTGTGGTGGGAGACTGTGTGCGCCCCTCTGTGCCCCATGCCACTGTGGTCCTTCCGGGACCTCCCTGAGCAGAGGCATGTTCTATCCCTGATTACTCAACCTCCCACACAGCTCCTACCTTGGGCTCCACATAAAATATCTTAGAAGCACAGCTCCATCACTGGCTGGCAGAGGTTAGAGGGCAGGGAGCTCCCCTGTCCCCACCCCTCGGCCGGACACACAGAATCTCCCAGTTGTTTCTCTCCTGGGCCAGTGGATGTGGACAGTGCTGGAGAAAGAGGGAAACCTGGGTCCTCAGAGCTGGGGGCCTGTGGCCAGCCCCCTGGGCTGAGTCCTGCCCCTATTCTGGGTCTTGCTCCCCTCCTCCTGGAAACCATCTGGCTCTATCCTTCTAATGACTGCCTCCTACCCTGGCCCCAGGCCCTCTCCCAGGAAGCCTTGCCCAAGCCCCAGTGTGACTTAGAGCTGACCTCTGTCCTCCCTGGCATCCCTCATACCCCTTGGGAGCTGGTCTTGTCCCTTGTCAACACTGAGAACTTTCTGGAGCACCACCCCCACGTTCTCAGCTGGGCCTCCAAACCCAGCTCTGCTGCAGCCCCCTCCTCTGTCTCACAGGTGTGTTTGGTGGCCGGGGCCGAGGTGGGATCCCAGGCACAGGCAGAGGTCAGCCGGAAAAGAAGCCGGGCCGACAGGCGGGCAAACAGTGAGCCGACCCTCCGTCCGTCCCCGAGAGACTGAGCCGCCGCTGAGCATCTGCTCCCGCTCCCTGAGGCTGTGTTTCTACTCTCCAGGTCACAAGTGTGTTCAGAACAAAAAGAGGCAGGTGTTGGGGAAGAGCCCCCCTCCCCGCCTGTCATTTTGTGATCCTTTTTACATAAAGTACCCCCCCCCTTTTTTTAAGCCAGCAGTTCTACAGTTGGATATGTTATTCAGTGTTTTTGGTTTTCTGAAGTCTCCAAGCTGACTTGATTCCTGGAAGAGTCTGTGTTTAATGTGTCTTTAAAGCCCTCGCTCTTGTTTTAAGGGCGGGCACTTTCCAAACAGGCTTGTTTTGCATTGTGAGTTGGATCCTCGTGTGGTGAACAGACCGGAGGTTTTTATTTTAAGCTGTTTGCACTGAGATTGACAGCCTTGGGAGTTTCCTGAAACACGGACCTCAGGATTGCCTTTTGAAAACAAATACATATGAACGTATGCCACAGAAGCTGTTCCTGGGACATTGCTGGGCCCTGCCCCTTTGCCTCCTCTCTCCCTGTTTGTGTTACAAGAATAAAAACAAATACAACTACAAACTGCAAATTCATTTTTTTTTTTTTTTTTTTTTTTTGAGTCACTGGGCACATCTAGAGTGTGGTATCCTCAGGAAATCACAGTCCGGTAAGAGAAGTTTCCTTTCGAGGGTTGCTGCCTGTCTCGCCAAGGGGAAGTATTTCAACAGGACACTGGTTCCATGTCCCTTGATTTCCTTTTTAAGAACGATGATCCTGTTGTCTGGGCAATGGGAGTGGCCCTCCTGCACTAGGTTTACCTGTAACCCTTGCCCCTTTGTAGAGAGAGTTGATGAGGGGGAGGGGGCAGTGTGATACGCATGCAGCCGATCCCTGTGGCCAATGTCCTGCCCCCCATCCCTGCTTTGTAAGCACCATTCACACCAGAGTCCACTGAGAAGCTGTGACAAGCAGCTGCCTCAAGGAATGTGCTAGGAAGGCTCTTACCTCCTCTCCAAGTTGGGGCACCGCCTGTCCACACCACCATGATTTGCCTGGGATGTTGAGCCAGCACTTTTACGAAGTGTTTCTGTGACATTGTCTGCGGGCTGATTTTCCTTTTTTATTGTAAGTGAGGGGAACTGCCGAATGGCCCGGTGCTGGGAGGCAAGATGGGGTGCCAGCCGGTTCCCGTGGGACCGGATTCTAATTGTCACTGTGTTGAGACCTGTTCGGAGGGGCGATCAGAATAAAAGGTGTTGCCTGAGAACTCCGCTTGTTGGAGCTGCCAAGTGCTAGCCAAGCGGTCTTGCAGATACCCACATTTAAGACTCAGCCCGCCTCAAGAATGTGCTCTGCCCCTGCCCCCACCCCATCATTGTTTTTCCCTCAGGCACCGCTTGTGGGACCTGCTGCAGCTAGAATGCTTGCCTAGCACTCTGGCACAGGCTGGGACAGGGCATGGGGTTTGAGTGGGACCTGGGGGCGTCAGATAAGCCCCAGGACTGGAGAAATCCCCTCTCAGAGATGTGGGCTGCTGGGGTGGGTTGCGGGGTTGGCGACTACGCGCGGGGCAGGAGCGAGAAGGGAGGGACTGGCGGGGAGGGAGGTAGCTGGGTCCCCAGCTCCCCTCCCCCATGGCCCTGGACTCAGCGGCCCATAAAAGCCTCCGGGGCCCTGGTCTGGCGAGGCTTTGATAAAAGCCGGGGTCAGGTGTCCAGCTCCGCAGCGAAGGGCCAGCCCTTTGGAGGCCCCGCCCTTTCCTGCTTCGGGCGGTTCGGTTTTTCCTCCCAAACTGAGGTCTGCGGGGTGAACGCCTTCGTCCTACCGCCCTGTCTCGCAGTTTAGGGTCTTGGGCCCCCGCGGCGCCCGCCCTCCCCACGGCTCTGCGCTGGGGCTCAGGCTCCCGCTCGGAGCCTTCGGGAGCCTGCGTGCGTAATCGCGGCTTCCCGCGTGTGTCGCCAGACACGCCGGCCGGCCCTGACCTTTCCAGCCAGGCAGCACGGGCTGGCGACCCAGTCCCCTCCTCGCCCGCCGGTGACGTGAGCCGCCTCGCCAGCCCAGGCCGCTTAGGTGCGGTGGGCTTCCGGAAGGTTCTATCCTTCTGAGCTGGCTGTCGGGACAGCCCCGTTTTTCAGTCTCCTTCCTGGTTGGTTTCGAGAAACGAGCCTCAGCCCCCTCAACAAGAAAAGAAACCAAAAGCTCCCAGCTAGTTCCTAGACACTGGGCCTCGATCTTTCCGCCCTTTTGATGGTTGTCGACTGGGGTCTGAGCCCTCATCAGCTGACTGGTGCATGACTGCGGGCATGCAGGACGTCTAAAACGTAGGTGGTTCCCAGGAACCAGAAACCAGAGACCTCCTACCCGTGGAGTTTGCTCCAACTCCCAGCAGAGGTGTGACTTAGCCTGGGGCCCAGGCTCTGCAGGGCCGGCCTTGACGCCGTAGCCCCCTCTTGCCTGACTTGGGGCCAAGAGCCCATCTGGGGGACATGGAGGCAGCGCGCAACCAGGAGCCCCAGCCCCACTTGGCGGCAGTGGAGGGGGGGGCGTCTGTCTTGCTATCCTGTGTCATCCCTTCCTGCACACATCGCCTCTGATTCCTCCTCCGCGGGGCCTCACCTGCTGCTCCCAGAGCAGCTCTGCCAGGAAACCCTGCCCTGTGCCCACTGAGCCCACGTGGGCATGATGGCAGGTGTCCTCTCCACCCATCCATCTGGACCCCAGGGGCCCAGCCTCTCCTGGTATCAGCAATGTGTGTATCTCCAGTGGCTCAGTGCATGCCCTGGTGTCCTCCGCTGTCCCTCTGAGGACAAAGGGCCACTTGGCCAGTGAGGCGTATAGGAGATGGCCTGATGTCCACTCAGACAACCTCTGTGGGAGAAGCTGTCCGCCTCAGTGAAGCAGAGGGCTGGCCTGGAGGCAGAGGTACTGGGGCCACAACCCCATCCCAGGTGCTGGAGACTCAGCCTGAATTAGGCAAAGAGCCCCGGCCCAGTGGCCCTCACTTACCTTCCACGGGGTGAGCTAGCAACAAACTAGCCGAATGCATCAGTGTGGAGAAACAGAAAGCGAGAGTGGGAGAAAGAGGCGGTCAGGGCAGGCCGGAGGGTGACTAGCGTTCAAGGAAAGGGCTTGAGGAAGGCAAGGGAGCCATCTAGAAGAGCATTTCCGACGAAGAGAACAGCTTGCACAAGTGCCAAGGCCCTACACGGAGTGGTGACAGGAACAAAGTGAGGGGGTAGAAAATGGGGCAGGTGCTGTGGGCCCTGAGCAAGATGAGAAGCACAGAAGGTTCTGGAACAGACTGAGACAAGGTTGGAAGCCGGGAGACCAGGAGGAGGTGGGGCTGGGGGCTCAGCCCAGGGTAGAGGTCGCAGAGGTGGCAAGAGAACAGGCAGGGGTGCCTTGAGGGCCTGGGGCAGATAGGCTCATCTTTCTGCAGGAAGCCCAGGATGCTGGGAGGGGAGCTTTCCAGAGTGGAAGGGGAGGCCTCGCTGAGGGGGGAATGTTCAGACCAAATCCCGAAGGTCAAGAAGCCACTGTCCATGGGAAGAAGCAGAGAACAGGTGGAGGGAACTGCAAGTGAAAAGCCTCCGAGCTTCTGTGGCCTGCCTAGGGAGGGCAGAGACCCAGCATGATCCGAACAACAGGCTCGTGTGTGCCAGGCAGCTCCTAAGGGGCACAGAGGGGGTGAGCCACCTGCCCCAGGTCACACAGCTCCAGAGCCTCCTTAGAGCTCCTCCCTCTGTAGCCTCCTTGAACTTGGAAGATCCATTTGCCTTCTCTGAGTTCAGCTGTGTCAGGTGTAGAATCAGGAGACAGGAGTCATTTGGGGTGGGGGCAGGTGAGGTCGGCACTGGCTTTAAAGTTTATTCCCCTGACTGTTGCCTCAACTGAGGGACAGGGTTCGAGACACACAAAGTGCCTGGCAAGTTTTACCCCATTCTGCCTCAGTGTCCTTGCTGGTCAGAGGGAACAGTATTGGCCTCCACTTCACCGGGGTTGTTGGGAGGATTACACGGGGGAGGAGGCTTGGTATACAACGAATGCTCCGTATATACTTGCACACATCTAAGAGTGCTGCTTCGGGGCGCCTGGGTGGCTCAGTCGTTCGGCATCTGCCTTCGGCTCAGGTCATGATCCCAGGATCCTGGGATCGAGCCCCGCATCGAGCCCCACATCGGGCTCCCTGCTCCGCGGGGAAGCCTGCTTCTCCCTCTCCCACTCCCTCTGCTTGTGTTCTCTCTCTCGCTGTGTCTCTCTCTGTCAAATAAATCTTAAAAAAAATAAAATAAGAGTGCTGCTTCATTCTTCATTGATCACCTGTAGAGTGTCTGAAACCTCTCCTGGGAATCTCTCCATCTCTATCAGCCTTGAGCGCAGCCTGAGCTGCTCATTGGCTGGGAGGCCCAGGGCGGTGGTGCCACATGCTTGGCCTGCCCTGTGGTCGGTGACTAGTAGCCACTGTCCTCCATGCCCCGGAGGCCAGCCCTGGTTGCTTAACCCTGGCTGGTGAGCAGTCACCTTGAAGGCCCCCGGTGCTGCCCTAAGAGCCCCCTCCAGTCTGGGTCCAGCCACCCAGCGGTGACTCACCCTTGCCCGCCCCGCCTCCACTGGAACCAGGCACCGAAATAGTCACCCTGCTCACCCTCGGGAGTGGCCGGAGAAATATTTTAGGGCTGCATTCAGCGCCTAAAAATACTTGGTGCATCCTCCTGCATCTTCCCCTCCCTCATTCCCTTTTCTGTTCCTTTGAAAACTGTCCCTGTAAGCACCCCCAGGGCCTGTCCTTCCACACTGTGTCCCTCCAGCATGTTGAGTGTCCCTGGCAAGCAGGGCTCGGGGGGGTCCCCAAATGCCCAAGTGCGTGTGGATGACTGGTGAGGTGGCCTCCCTCCCTCCCTCGCACCCTCCCTGTCACCATGGAGAGACTCAGACACAGTTTACCCGGAACCTTCTGGAAAGACTGTCTTTTCCAAAACCCCCAGAAGACTCAGTTCCTGGGGCACAGTGATGCTGTCCAGGGAGGTCTTCATTACTCAGCAATTTTCCTTAAAAATTAAAAAAAAAAAAATGCCTCGTGCTGTTTGTGTTCATGAGGGGGGTGGAAACAGAACAGGGCCCCCAGCTGGACAGAATCCATTGCCTCTCCTGCTCAGGT